ATATTTTAATATTAAATTTTATAAAATATTTAATACAATTATTAATTATTAGTTGATTTTTTCTTTAAAAATATATAGTAAAATAATTATTTCTATGAATTAATATTTTACAATATACCAAATAAAAAATAAGAGTCTTTTTCATGAATACATTAAAATATTATTTAAATTCAATATTTTACTTTTATAAATGAAATAAATATAATAAATTGAGATTTTAATATTTAATTTTATAAAATATTTAATAAAACTATTAATTATTTCCCCTAAAAATATAGTAAAGATACTAGTTTCTATACATTAATATTTTATAATATTCAAAATAAAATATTAATAATTGTATTATTCATAATGGTCAGAAAAAAATAATATAATATGATATAAGAGTAGGATACAATAAAAGTAAAATATGATAATTGATAAGTGCAGGATAAAATTTTATCAAATCACACGTTTGGTGTACACTATGATAACAAACTAGATAATATTATTATGTTATATGTTTTGTATTTAATATTTATCAATAAGATATTGCATAGATTATATTCAAGTAAAAAGATTTTTGTTTTATTAAAATTACATGTAACTAAATATTAATTTAATTTTTAAATTAAAATATTATTTTAAATATATAATACAATTTTTTTGTTTATGTAATTATTTTTTAAAAAGTTATATAATATTTTAAATTATTATTTTAATATTTTTTTAAAAATATTTAAATAATAATTTTTTATTTTAATATTGTATTTTATAATATATTTTATATTTACATGTAAAAATATTATAATTATATACAAAATAATATGCTGAAGCTAAATGTATTTTATAATATATAATATACTATTATATTTATTATTATATGATATATTTATAAATTAATATTTTATATTATATGTTATATTTATTATATATTTATATATTTTAAATAATAATAATAATAATAATAATAATAATAATAATAATAATAATAGTAGTAGTAGTAGGTAGAAGTATAGGATATACTACTATAATACATGCCATAATGAATAAATAAAGGAAGAATGAGAGCTTATCCTATCCTAACATATATGCTGATTATCAAACATATCTAAAATATTGGTTAAACTCAACATTTTACTTTTATAAATTATTTAAAATAAAATTTAATAATTGAAATTTTATTGTTTAATTTTCTAAAATATTTAATAATTTCATTAATTATTATTTCATTGTTTTACTTATTAATTATTTTATAAATGAATATTTTATATAAAAAAAAAAATAAGAGTCCTATTCATGAATACTTTAAAAAGTGTTAGTTTAATTGATCAACATTTTTATAATAAAAATAACCTTTAATCAAAATAATACTCTTCTATTATTGTCTATAAAAATTATAAAAATTCATTATTGCTATAAATTAACATTTATAATGTAAAAAAAAAATTAAAGAGTCATGTTCATGAATATCCTAAATATTCTATTTAAATTTAATATTTTTTATAAATAAGAATAATATTATTTTATAAAATATTTAAATTTATTTAATTATTTGTAGAAATTAACTATCATTTTTCTAACGAAGTTTTTTTAGACAATAATAATAACAATAATAATCACACTTTTTCTTAGTGGTGCATCTCTTGATGATACAATATATTTTTAATTGAGAATCACGACAATATATATTCAAAGCTTTGA